CAAATGAAACAGAATAAATAAAATAAATAAAATAAACAGGTTACAGTTAACCTTATTATAACAAACTCTATGTTCTAGACCTCAACTTTATTATAAGGCTATAGTGAAGATTTTAAGAGATTTGATTGGTCAATTGCTATAATAAGAGTATTTTTATTATATTTGTTTAAAAAATTCATTATATTAAGAGTTCGCTATATCAAAAGTTGACTGTATATAGAAAATATAGAAGAATTAGATAAAATATTAATCATTATTTAACATAATTATGAGATCATCTAATATAAGATTATGATTTTTAGAATTACAATTTCTTCTATTGATAATATATAATATCATTGAAGTTAAAATATGAAATAATAAAAATAATTTATTAAATAATTTTTATACTATTTTTATATTATTAAAATTAAAAGTATTAAAAACTATTATTCTAAAAGTATTAAATTAAGTTGAAATAAAATAATTAATTTTTACTTAATAAATTTTAAGATAATGATTTTTTTAAATTAGTTAATTATTATAAATTAATATTAAATTTTATAATAAATTTAATAAGTTATTTAAAAAAATTAATTATTTTAAAAAAAAAAAAGATAGTTCTTTTTAAGTATATAACTTTCTAATAACTTTTTTTAATTCTTATAATCATTAGAATTATTAATTAATTTTTTATCTGAATAAAATTTCTTAATTTCAAATTTACTAATTATTTTTTTGTTTAATTAAAGATTTTAAATTTTAAAATTATAAGATTTTTACCTGAAATATATAACTTTTTAACTACTTTTTTATAATATACTTATAATTTTTTAACTTTTATATCTTATTTATAAAAATTACTAATTTGCTTTTTTATCTAATTGGAACCTTAAAATCTTATAGATCAAATAGTTTTAAAACTATTTTCTTAAGAAACTATCAAAATCTTAAAAATTAATAAAATTAATATATTAGAGATGTAAAAAAAATTTTTATTTTAATTAAGAAAAATATAATAATTGTAACTATACTAAACAAATGTTATATTTTATTTACAATAAAAATTATAAAATACATAAGTTAATTACATTTAAATTTTTGATATTTAATATAGTATTATATTAGAAATTAAAAATTAAAATACTTTTATTATAACATATTAAACAATAAATTTTTGAATTAAAATATTATAAAAATTAAATATAATAGTAAGTTTAAATTATGAAATATTATATTTATTTTTAGATAATTTTTTTCTCTTATTAATAGTATCATAATTTTGTTTAAGTTTTGATTATTATTTTTCTTATCTATAATTATAATATTAAAATATTAAAAAGATTATTTTGAATGATATTTATAAAAAGTATAAATCAAATATATATCAACATCAAAATGTATCAAATAAAATTTTTTTAGTACAACAATCACTGATGAGGAAATGTCTTGACTTGAGATTACTGAATACTCGTGATTTTTAATCATGAAGATTCTTCACGGTTGCATCTATGATGTGATAATGCATGGAAAAGCCGAGAAATAAATGTTTGATCATAGGGCGGAGTCAGCTTCTCATACTCGAAGTCAGTGAAAAAATATATATTTAGTATAGGTCCTTAGGTAGCTTTATTTAGCATAAAAATTTTCTCATATATTTTTTTGGCTACGTCCCAAACTTGTATTTATTTATCGCGTGTAATAATGAAAACATTTTTTCTTGGCATTTTTCAGAAGATAATTCCAGTCTTGTATAAAAATTTTCTCGAAATTCGGATCGCAAATTAGAAAGTCTGGCAGTAAATTCTATCCAAGAACATACAGTGAATGTGAAATATCGAGAAAACGAAATATAAAGGTAAGAGTGGATCGGAGATATTGTTTATTTTTTACTTGCTCTGTAATTTTGCAACAGATCTGAAATATTATCATCTTAGAATATTTGGGCGGAATTGGTTTAAACAATAACAGATATAGTTAATTTACTTCGGAAATTATAGAAGCATATTAGATAGACGCATAGATATTAAAAAAATTAGCATTAGGTGGTATTGAGAAGCGGGAAGGATCGGTTAGACATCGAAATGTTTCCTCCCTTTGAACATCCACCAATCAAGTAGATTTTATTAGTTTAGCATTGACAATTCATTTATAAGAGTAAAGATTTCGTTTAACTTTTGCAATTTTTGTTTTATTGATAAAAATGTTCCTTTATTCACTAAAAAATTGTTAATCAAGCAACGTTACTGAATATCTGAATCATAGATTGGAATTAGCCTTAATTTAGCTTGCATCTTTAGCCACTTCCTTCATAATTTCATTTTGAATCAGCACTATCTCCATCATTATCGGATTTAGCAATTGTTTTAGTATGTTGATCTATTTCACTCTCTATGATCTGATCAAGGTCACAGAGAACATTTTTCACGAATTCACTACTGTAAGCATCTGGAAGTTTCCATTTGTGATACAACTTCTTATGTTCCCCCAGAAACAGTAATTTTATATCCTTTGGATCGTAAAAATTCGATGTATGATTCACATAAGTAATAACATTTCTTGGATACTGCTATAAATTCATTATGTTCCTTGCTAAATATGTCGGTGTTGGTTAATATGTTCAACTCTGCGTGTAAATATATGTGATTAGTTGTTTCATGATCCAATTGACTACCTATACCACCATATATCTCGTTTAGTTTCTTCCTTGTTTCTTTATTGTTTAAACAATTTTTCTTGAAATCTTCGAAACTCTTTTGAGCAGGAATAAACTTTTTGATAATATCAGTCCATGGAGATATGGTTTGTTTGCCAGGAATAGGATCCGATAAACGCAAGTCTATACAAGAAAATGATGTTTTATACTTTTCTTTATGTGCACAATTAACAATATTCATCACAGATGCAGAATAGGATTCCACTTTTTTTGATGTGTCCTAGGAATCTTTGCGGATAATTTTATTTTTATTATCTTTATAATACTCGCAACAAGCCACGGAAATTTGGTAAGTATCATTTAGATTATTAATGTTAATCTCAAAAGATTCTAGGGATTCTAGGAAAGATTTAATGTGGCTCGTCATCATTATCCTTTATATATCTTTTAAGTTTGTCCAATCTACGTTCAAACTTAACAGAATAGTACTCAAATACATTAAAAAATAAAGCAGACACATCCTTTCTTTTAGTTGCTTGTTCAAATGTCATGGGAGCATTTTTAGATAAATTTTTCATGAGTCCTTTAATTTCGTTGATATATTTAACATCTCTAACAAGCCATCTACCGTTCTTTGAAATGTAAATTCTACACTTGCTGGGTAAAATTTTCAAGTTAACTGCTACCACTTCACTGTCTCTTGCTAATATTGTTGCTAGGTTACGAAAAAATATGTCACTCTCTGACAAGCTAATTTCTTCTTTACTTGCTTCATCGGTAACAAATATTACGCTTCTAGCAACACACACTTTACTATAAAATTCTATAAGTTGCGACATTGGGTTTGCTCTTTTTGCCATTCTACCTGTTTATAAATGTGATAAATGTGTAAAAATATTTTGAAAGAAAATTAGGATAATTCAGATGTGTCATTTTAAATTTTTGTCGTAATGTGAAATAAAATGGTCGCAATACAATATATGGAATACAAACAGCATGAAATTTCAGCTGGGTCTTTATCAAGGTAAACTGTTAATTTCTGACACTGCATGTTCTGTGCATAACTGACGACCATTTTATTCTATCCAGAATATCGACGTTTGGACAAATGAAATCGGATTGGAGTTAATGTTAGTATAACGTGTTAGTATATAGATAGCTTAGATGAACGAAACATTAGCAGACATTAGTTTAGAAACTATTTCATTTTGCAAAACAAGTTTATGTATTACCGAATCTTGTAATTTATTTTTACATCAATAAATCAGTGATGAGAATATTACCTCATTTTTTATATATGCTAACGAACTTATGGATTATTCCATCTTTCATAATTATTATCAAACATGCAATCCATTGATTCATTGAGAGAATTAAATGCCAAGCTCATAGCTGAGATTACCGAGCTTAGGAAGGAGAATGCTGAGATCCCTGAACTTAGAGAGAAGATACTAAGATTTGTTGCCCTATGAAAAATATATGATCATTTTACGTACAGTAAATGTTTATCATGTAACGCTCATAATCATTCATTAAATATATATGTTATGTGGATTTTGTATTATATGTCTAAATCATTTATTATTTGTACATAAATTATTTATAAAATATATATAAATTATATTATTTGTGCATAAATTATTTATATTAAATGTATTTATTAAACTTATTATGCGTATACAAATTATTTATTAAACGTACATAAACATTTATATCACCTATTATTAATTAATAATACAACATTACTATTTTCTTTAAACTGCTATATCTTTCTTTTTGTTATATTGTTGTTTTTTGACAGGAGATTTCATGAAACCTTCTTTTTCAATTTCATTATCATTGGATCTGGTATTTTTAGTCTGAGAAGATCTATGAAGTGCAGCCTACCTTGGCTTCAAATTACTTTTTCTAATGTTATTATTAAAATTATTTAAACAACAAATAAACATTTGATTAATTGAAGAAACAACTTATTTCGCAATAATTTGGGGTAAGTGAAATTCATTAAACTTGTTATTAAAGCCAGTAGGACCACTTTTAGAAAGATTTAACACTTGGCTTTCCATATTAAGTAATGGCATATCATACCTTTCATTTGTTTCAATATCTGAATTGACTGCTTTTTATTTTTTCTTCTTGCTTTAGAAAATATTTTTTCTTATTTTTTCATAAGTTTTTCAATTTGTTGATTAATATTTTGAAAATTGTCTTTTATATTTAAATAAAATTAATATATTAAATACAATAAATTAAAATATTGAAATTTAAAAATAAATATAAATTTGAACTTGCAGAATTTTCAATAAAACTTTTATGATCATTTTGAATATAATTTCTTTTACACTTAAATACTTAATTGGATTCTATTATATATATATTATAAATACAATATTTTACTAATAAAAAAATTTATAATGTGTAAACTGCATACCTTTCGTTTTAGGATTATTATCAGGTTTTTTAGTTAGATGACAGTTGTTACCTATAGAAAATAATTAATTTAATAAATATATCAGATTAATTTAATGCTTATTAAATACTTATAATTTATATTTATCTTGTGATACATAAGATATATTAAAGGCCAATCTCTAATACAAGGTGAAAAATTTGGGTTATTCTTTTTAAATTTTTGAATAATATCTGCTCTAATTTTTTTATTAAGATTCTTATATTAAATTTCAGTAGGAGTATGATGCTCAACAATATTAAAAAAAGTAGTCTAGAAATACAAAAAATTATAATTATTAAAGAATCAAATTTTAAAAGGTTGTATTAAAATTATTTACTTTATAACTTTATATACACTTTCTTCTATCTTTAATTTTAAGTATAAATCTGCAAATTAATCTGATCCTGTAGGTGATTTTGAAATTAGTTTTGTAATTAAATGATTTTCACTATATTTTTCATTCTTAAAAATGTAACATATTAGTATATTAAAAAATACAAATTATAAATACAAGTTGTATTTAAAATTTACCTCTGTATTCTCTGTATTCTTTATATAATTTGATGATTCTAAGTCAGATTGACACTTCGTTGATATTTTTTAGGATACAATACATGTTTTTATATCTCTTTGAATATTTTTATCCTTCTCTCTTAATTCTCTAACACTTTCTTTTTTATTTACTTCATCTTTTAAATTTTTATTTTCTTTTTCTAAATTAGTAACACAAACTAAATAGATAATAATACTTTTTCATCTACCTTTATTTGCATACTATCAATATTTTTAAAATTATTAATAATAAAATTATCATTAATATTATTTTTGAAAACTGAACTCTAAGAGCCTTTAGCAAAGGTTTCAATATCTTCAGGATTTGATGACTTACTTTGATAATAGGTTTGATGATATTTTTTCTTTGATTTGTCATATTTAAAATAAATAAATTTAAAAAAATAAATCTAAAAAAATAAAGTTTAAAATGAATCATAAGAGCTTTTATACATTATTAAATTAAACTTTATAATTAAATATATTGCAACATAATATTGCTGTAATTTTATTTATTATTAAAATTCATGCTAAAATTTATTGTGATACAAATAAGAAAATAATAAATAATTTTATGCTAAAATAGACTTATATTGTAATACAAATAAGAAAATAAAAGTATTACACTCCCTACCCAAAACTATTAAACCACATAAAAATTTTTATAAAATATCAAATTTTTTTTTATCTACAGTTTTTATTAAACTCAAATAAATAAATATAA